AAAAAAAAAAAAAAAAAAAAAAAAATGTAACAAGATAGGTTAGGTTACATACATTGAACGTGTACATGACCAATCAGAGCGAAGATCACTAAACTTAGGATTGATTTTCTTTTTTTTGATTGGTCAAATTTCAATTCAATCTCAATTCCAATCCGTAGTGTGACATAAGATGCGGTCAAGGTCTTACTGCAGATGTTTTGAAACATCATTCTATCTTTATTCTACATTTAACGAGAAATAAAGATAGAATAATGTTTTGAAACGTTTGCAGTGAGATTTTGACCGCACCCATAGACTTATTTGGAACCCACAGCCTACGATCGCGAAGTTCCAACAGAAACTCAATCCAATCAGAAGACCGGACGCTTTCACTGTGTGCGACATCTATACGTTTCACTGCGAATGTTAAAAATCTATAGTTCGCATAACATTGTACTATAGATTTTCAGTATCTTCAGCGAATTCAGTAGCTCGTGGTAGCTCGTGTGCTTCGTTCATGTGTTTCTACCGAGTGGATGTTCGTGAAAAAGAAAAAGAGATAATTTTATCCTCGACTTGATTTTTTTATCCTTCTTCTGTTTTTTTACGGTATACACAATGGTGATCTGCAAGTATTATCGGCAAGGCAATTGCCGTTACGGGCAGTACTGTCAGTTTGAACACGTGAACAACTTTGGTAAACAAAGCTAATCATCGCTATTCTGGTGTTGAACGGAATAATTATCATATATTATATCTTATTTTCTCTAATTACAGGAAACAAAACCGAATATAACGAGGACGACATCGCGTAAGTATTTGCATTAAAGCGCAACATTGCTTCTCGATGGGAAACAAAGTGCGTCGTTACTTGTGTGATTTTTGAAGTGTTGGCTTGTTGCGTTCTTTTGTTTTTCCACAACAAAGAGAACATTTCATGTTGCATATGTTTTGACATTGTTGACAAGTTACGTACATGTTGTTATCCAGTTGGAACAAAATCAAGTAATATCCACGACAAAATAACGTTTCTGTCTTAAATGCAAGAGTGCACATATTATTATATGATTTTTAAAACATATTGTAACAATAAAAATAGATTAAAAATATTTAATTAATTACGCTTGGTAACAAATTTTATGTATGAGCTTACACATTTGCATTTTTTGCAGTGTAACAGTAGCCAAAGAAGTGCTTCTTGCGGAAAGAGGTGGACAATGGCTGTTGTCATGTTTTGGACCGCTCAGAGATCGTCCCTGCATCCCGGGCATGGAGGATCTATCTCCGGACGAGGTTCGATGGGAAATGTATCAGGCACAGAAAAATGGAATGGTTGAACAAGCGGTTAGTGAATGTTTCTGTTAGCTGACTTGTAATCCATAATGCACTGGTAAGTGCAAAACAGTATTGTTGTATTTTATGCAATTATTATTTTTCAGAAAATACATTTCCAACAATTGTGCCAAGATATGAAGGCAAAAAGAGAGGCGTTAAAAAATCCTACTAGAGAAACAATCACAATGTTGGTGAGTCAAAATTGTGATATTTTTTGGGTAACGATTTGAATAAAAATCTCTCTCTCTCTCTCTCTGTGTGTGTGTGCGTGCGTGCGCGTGTATGTGTGTGTGTGTCTAATATGAATAAATAATCATAAGTTGTTTTTATCTTTCAGAAAAAAATTCTAGGAAGTGGACAAAAAGGTGGGTTGAACACAAGCGTAAATATCTCCGGGAAATCATCTACTTTCTCCTTTGCAGCTCCTCAGTTGGGCTTAACCAATAGCATGTCCAATAATAATGTCTTCGGAAGTACAACATTTGGCGTGCAAAGTAATAATAATAATCCATTCGGCGGAGGATTTACCTCTTCCAGTGCGTCGTCGATATTCGGAAAATCTACGAACCCCGTGTTCGGTGGCACGGCAACTTTTGGAAATAATCTCGGCGTATTCGGTAATTCTGGGACAAGTGGCCAAACCAGTTCCATTTTCGGCGCGACAAGCACGTCGACGTCGTTCAGTGGCGCCCAAACCAACACACTTGCGTTCGGAACGGCTCAGAACAATTCGGTTTTCGGCGGATCGTCCCAGAACGTGTTCGGTCAGAGCAGCAATGTGTTCGGCACGAATCAACTTGGCAACGCGAGCTCCGGATCGTTGTTCAGCAATCCGTTGACCTCGCAGGCGAACACCTCTATCTTCGGCGGAGCAACGACCACCACCGCAAGTTTGTTCGGCGGCGACACTTCATCGACCGGTCTGCAGACAAATTCGGTGTTCGGAGGAGCCCCGACCACCATGTCCGGCGGAATATTCAGTCAACCGAAGACGTCCGCGTTCGGCGGGACTCTGGGTTTTGGTGGTGGAACCACCAGTTACGCCAGCACTTCCGGCAATTCGATATTCGGAGGTAATCAGACGTTCGGCGCCGCATCCACGAGCAGCATCTTCGGTGGATCCACGCTCACCACAACACCGGCTTTCGGCGCGCCTATCGCTACCACGTCGGCGGCTTTCGATCTGACTCAACAACAATCCAGCACGAACACCTTCGGAGCCACGTCCGCGCCGAACGTGTTCGGCATGCAGAACACCGACACCTCTATGAATAACAATCCGTCGTTCGGAACACCAGCAGCCACGATCAGCAACCCCTTTGTCACGAGTTCGCAGCAGATTAATTCCACGAGCACCATCTCCACGCCGTTCGCCAACACGGGTTTGTCCATAGCGGCCGCCAACAACACGTTCGCTACCACAGGAACGTCTTCCAATTCGATATTCGCGAGCGCGGCGACTACTTTTGCCACGTCAAACGCGACCGTTCCGAAGAATTCGCCATTCGCCGCGTCTACATTCGGCAACGCCAGTGCTTCCTCGTCGCCGTTCGACTCGACGAAAACTAGCCTCGCCGGAACGACGCTCGCGAATCCGTTCGCGCCGCGGACGCAACAGATCGCCGATTCGCCGTTCGGAAGCGTCACGCAAAATCAAACCTCGTCTCCGTTCGGAAGATTGTTCAACGCCCCAGCGAACGACGATTCCGTTTACAGCGCGGAAGGCGCGCTAACGGACGAAGAGAAGGAGATGTACCTGGCTCAACGATTTATTATCGGCAAGATACCGGTCAAACCTCCCACCAAAGATATGAGGTGACTCGACAACGCTGTCTGCGGGACCTGTGGGATAAATAGCCACACATCGAGCGTATTCTGTGATAAACGTTTTTTCTTCCGTTTAAAAAAAAATATTCAAAGCGAGTGTTCTTCGCACATGGCGATTCAGTGCGCATAAAGCGACTCTCAATGCAGGTCACATTTATGCGAATTGAATGCGACGATCTCATCTCATTGCTTGCAACTGCGTACTGTATAATAGTTTATATAATAGTTTGACTGATCAAAAAATACGTGTGATAAGTGGACGTACAAAAGTATATATATAACGATATTACATATGTATAAATAACAAAAATAAAAAATCTGATTAGAAAAAATATATGTCACGTATTTTCTTTCTTTTTTGGTGAGTCAAGATTTGCTTGTTAATTCAACAAAAATCTCTTGTCAAATCCGTTGATCTCGATTCGATAACAAGCGAGAGTTTGCAATGTTTTTTAATTAAACAAATACGTCGCGATGGTATAAGATACAAGTGTGTACATCCTTCTTGTATCAACGGTTTTTAATTTGATGAAGAGATACTATTTACATATGTACACAAAGGGCGATTGTATCACAAATTATGAACTCAGATCGGTGTTCACAGTCGGATTTTGTGTTCAACATCGTCTTGAGTTCGGACGGTGTCTGTAGCGCGTGTACCTTCGCAAGATGAACTCGAGAAGACGGTTTTGAACACGAGATCGGATCACAAACATCGGCCGTGGATGCAGAGTCCGAAAATGCGACTTAACGGCAACTCTGATTGGTATGTGGATCTTGTAACGGATTATTTTCTGTAGGAGAGGAGATATTTAGGAAGTGATGGGACTTTTAGTCGCGCGCGCCCATCTAAAACTTACAGAAGATCAATCCCGTTAATGAGTCACGTGTGTGTGTTTTCAGAGTTAGCGAGTTATTCTTTCTCTTGTTTTAAATTCAATTTAAATACACACGACTAAATGACTTCACTACCAGGACAGTCTTCTTGCTGCACGCTATTCTTAGTCTTGCGTACTCGATATTAAACAGTATAGACTTAAAGGACTCTATAAACACGCCTGCGGCAAGTGACACAGAGAGTTTGACGGATAATTAGTTCGTTGCGCATAGGTTACAGGCTGATTGGATGTCTGCGACAAGCCGGACGGTATGCTGTTCGAGGCCTTGTATCCGGTGACCTAAAACAAAACAAATTTTTGGTTGATTTTGCTCGTAAGAGTAGCTGCGCAACTTTTTCTCGGACAATATTGAATTACCTTGTCGTTCATTTCGGGAAATATCGTGCTCAGATTGAAGTTGGTGAGACTGGTCCCCGATGGATGATGCGGCATCGCTATCGGATTGCTTGAGACTATTCCACCGCGGACCATGTTGGAGTTCATTGAAAACCCGGCCGCTACCCCCTGAGCACTCGCCATAGCCGACGGCGGGGGCGGTGGAAGACCGTTGACAGTCTTGGCGTAGACGTTCGTCTGAGGGTGATTCTGATAGAGGGAATTGCCGTGAGGTGGCGGCGGCGGAGGCGGTAAAAATGTGGAGTGATGATAGTCCTCCAGCGGGGAATTGATGCCCGACAGCGGAAACTCCAGATTCTGCATCGGCCCGCTATCGAGAGTTCCCTTTCGCTTGCCTTTCTTCGCGGTGGCGGAATACGAACGTTTGTCGCAGATCGGATGTTTCCCGTAATGCTGATGATTCTTCCCGTTGGTATTCGCCGTCGTGGACGACGTGTTCGCAGTGGACGTGTTTGTTGTGCTGGCACTCGAGGAACTGGTCCCGCCCACATTAGGCAGTAGAAAACTGTTGGCTTCCTGTATGTAATCGGTGTTGTCGTGTAGCGGCATGGCCATGTAGCTATTGGGAGTGTTTGAGATGCTGGTGATGAAGTTACCGGTTGGATAGATGGAATTGGCAGAATTAGACGAGTACGCGTACGTGTTGAAGTTTTGATTTACTACCGACTGACTGTAGCCAGCCGTAGCGGTGTCGTCCGGTGGTGGCGCGCTCGAGAAATAATTGATCGGCATCACCGCTGCGTCCGCGGCGGTCAGACCGCTCTGGAATTTGTTCTGCGAATAATTTGTCGTGAACTTGATGTGTTTTGTGTCTTGGTTTCCTCCCGCGTCGTGAGCGCTGGTTCCGATTAGCGCCTCTGCGGTGTAATTGCTCTTACAGTTTCTGCTTCTCCAGTGAACGTTATTTTGTTGATATTTCTGCTGCTGCTGCTGCTGCTGCTGCTGCTGTTGTTGTTGTTGTTGCTGCTGCTGCTGCTGCTGGTAGTTCTGTTCTGTGAACACGTGTCCAGACGATTTTTGTTCCTCGTGCCGCTGATGCAGATTATTATCGTTGGTCGTCACGGACTTGCGAATGTCCATTTGCCGTTTGCTGGTCGTTCTGGGGCTTGTGTTGCTCTTTCTCTGATGTTTCCTAGCCTGCTGCTGCTGCTGCTGCTGTTGCTGCTGCTGCTGCTGCGAGTGCTGATGCTGATGCGGATGGTGATGATGATGCTGATGTTGCTGATGATTTTGCTGCTGATTATTCTTCTCCGCCTTCTCGTGTTCCACTAGCTGGCTCACGGATAGAAAACTGGAAGCCGAATGCTGAACGTTCTGCGTGTTCAGTATCGCGTGCAGATCCCGTCCCGACACACTGTTCGCATCTTTTTCCTTTATAGACGCGTCCTTATTTTGATCCGGCAAGACTCTCGACGACGAAGTCGCGCCGAACAGATAGTTCTGCTTGTCCGTCAGATTGCTACTCAGATCGAGATCGCTCACGAGAGTCTGCAAACTCGTCGGGACGATATGCTGATCGATGCATTTGACCGAGGACTGGCCGACGACGTGTTCGACGCTGTTGTGCATGCCGCTCTTCGTCGGCGACCAGGGAAACGGTTGCTCCTCGGAATAGAAGGTTTCCGCGGATCTCTTTGGATCGCTTTGCAGGACCGGCAGATTCGGGAAACTATGAGCGGCGGTCACGTCGTAATTGTTATAGAACTGATTCGGCGTGCTCTGATTGTATGTGGGTGTCTGAGGGAACAGATTGTTCTGGCAAAACTCCAACTCCTTGCCGATCGGCGGTAGAATGATATCGGCGATGTTGGTGACGTTGTGCTTGACCTCCGGCGTCATCATCCAATTGACCGGCGCCTTGATCGCGTGCTGCTGATGCTGATTACTCTTGGACTTATTGCTGCTCTGCGACGGCTGCTGTTGCTGCTGTTGATTGTGTTTCACGTCACTGTTATAACCGCCATTGTCGTGCGACAGAGCGGAGATCTGGCCCTGAACAAGAGTCTGGTACTTGTGCTGACTCCCGGTCTGCTGCGTCATCTTTTCCGTGTATTTGAAATTCGCACCGGTGTAAGCTTCGATCGAATACTTCATTTGCACATTACTGTCCGTCAAGTCGAAGTTGATCTGCGGCTCGTACACTGCCGTGTACATCGTTTTCTCCTGCTTAGACGACAGATTCTGATGACTCTTCGGTACGTGTTGTTGTTGTTGGGACTGCGGCTGTTGCTGCTGATCTATAACGGCGCTGTACTCGTTCTGCATGTACGAGTTCGACTCCATGCCGTATTTGTTCTTGCTCTTACCGCCGTCGGTGAACTTGTAATCGTTGCCAGCCTGCTGAGATTGTTGCATCCTGTTCTGCTGCTTCGACGGATCGTTCCTGGTTTTCGAGGGATCGGCGAACGGCTGTTTCTGCGGCTCGATTTTACTCTGTCGCGATTTGTCGAGCCCGGCCGTCACGGACGAGTTGCTCGGATAAGAGTTGTCGCCGGTTAGCACGTGATTCGGAAAACTCGGATTTTCCTTGTGCAACGATATGTAGTTGTAATTCTCGCAGATGGTCTTCGTCTCGGCCGTGTCGTTGTTCGAATGCGACTGTCCCTGTTCGAACTGCACGAGATTGTTGTTGCCGGTATCGTTGACCGGTGAGGCCGTCGTCCACGAGAGGATGCTGAAGTTGGACTTGTTGTGAGCGACGGTGGTGGTGGACTTGGTGTGATTCTCCGTCACTGTGCTCTGCTCGTAATTGGACGTAGCGACGAACGACGACGTCTGCTGCGAGTAACGGGGAACGATGCTTTGTTGTTGCACCACCGTTGATTTGTTACCGTTGTCCATGGTATTCGTGGAGACGGTGGCGGCGCTCGTCTTCTTGTCGTCTTTGCTAGAATAGGAGACGTAATTATTGTGCGCGTTGTTGCCGTTCGTGTTCAGAACGTCGGTTTGCTCGGTCGCGTTGCTCATCGTTTCCTTGACCTCGTACTGAAACGACTGAGTAAACGGATCCATGTCCAGCTTCTTCGCGGGAATGTACGTCGAATCGCGTATATGACCGTGCTGTTGGTCCTGGGACTTGGAACCGAGCACGCCGCCCAGTTTGGTCTCTTGATTCGCCCGATTCAAACCGTCGGAGGTATCCGTGCTCTTGTTCAGCTTGGAGTAGTTTCGTTGGAAGGAGTTTTCGGAAGAATTCTGACTGTCGGCTTTCGCGGCGTAATCTTGATTTCGCGACGTAGCGCTCGCAACTTCAGAACTCGCTATGATGTGCTCCTGCTTTTTGTGAACGGCGAACATTTGCTGAGAACTGTTCAGATCTAAGAGAACGTGACTGTCTTTGGTCTGATTGTACACCGGTTGTTGTTGCATGTTTTGCGAAGAGAGAATAGGAAGGTTAGACTCTTTGGTCGCCACGGTATAACTCTGCAGACTCTGTGACGACGTCGGAAGACCACGGTCTATCTGAGTGGCGTAATCGACACGGTGATCGGAAACAATGCCGGCAGAATCGATCAGCGCGTTCTTGTTATGCGACGAATAAATAATCTGCGACGAACTCTGAGAGCTCTTGTCCTTGGTTTGAGCGGAATAATTCACCTGCAAAGATTGCAGAGACACGGAGGATGAATTCGTACTCACTGTCGCGTTATCCAGGCGAGTGCTCAGCAGATTTTGGGAATCGTTGGTGTTTTCGATGCGCGTAACACCCGTAGGATTTGTATTTGGCGTCGTCGCGATGGCAGTTGTCTTGAATATGGACGTGCTCGGTGTGTGTTGCTGCGTGCTGAGACTATTTCCCACTACCGTTGTATAATGCGGCAGAAAGTCCTGCGTGCCGGAATATGCCACGTTGGAGTTGTTGCGATTTGTCGTTGTCTGGGACGTGCAATCAGTAATGTTACTCTTATCTGTGGATATATTGATCGGTGCCTGAGACACGATAACGTTGGCGCTGTTCAGCGCACTCGTCGTTGTAGTCGCACTCGAAGAGTTGCCGACGATACACGAGGAGTTAACAGAAAAATTGACCGAATTGTGAGAAGAAAACGCACTGCTAGTCGCTTTCTCCAAACTCGGCGGCAGAACAGCCTGAACTATCTTGTACGGTTCCCGCAGCGTTTCTTCGTTCACCACTTTCGGCAAGGATTTCGTCGTGGGAACACACTCTACGGAAACGATTATGTCAGTGTTCGCGTTCACACTCGCCGGCGCAACTTGCTTCTCCTCGTAGGTCTTCAACCGCTTCTCCATGATCGCGTCGGAGGACGAGGAGGTTTTGATCTTGAAGCTGTTTGGTTCTATGGTGCCAATCTGCAATAACATCGGCGGTGTGTGACTGTGGTACTTGAAGTCTTCTTTCATCTCCTCGTCCAGAACCTCGCTCTTGCCGTTGAGAGACGACACCAGCGGGAAAGCCATCAGGAACGCCGCCGTGGGCGATATAGATTCCGAATTATGCGAACTGGAAGGAACTTGCAGAGAAGCGAATATATCGTTAGACAGATCCGAATGTAATCCGTCTGTTCTGTTACCAATCGGCACAAATGTGTTCTCGCTGGTGTATGACAAAGATTTGGATATTTCATCCTTGGAACTTTTCGTTGCCTTGATTTCATCAGTGACTATATTGCTCGTTAGCGACGATGAGGATGACGATGAAGATAGCAATAACGATGATGATGACAAAGACAATGACGATGACGACGACGATGACGACGACGATGACGACGATGACGACGATGACGGCGACGAAGATGACGATGATAATGACGATGATAATGATGATGATAACGATGACGATAACGATGATGATGATGATGATGATGATGATGACGTTGACGATGATGTTGACGACGACGAAGATGACGCAGGCATTGTTGTTGAAGTATCGACAACATTTGAATCTCCAGATCCGTCAGATTTCATCGTTGTTGTGGTGTTCGTATCTAAATTTAAGATAATCTTATTGCTCTCAGCGTTGCTCAACGCGTCGCTGAGTTGTTGGTGTTCTTTGGCGGGCGCTACATCCAGAAGATTGTCGAAACGAGTGTCCAGGTTGCATGCTTGTTTCGATTCTTCGGGATCGACTTTCTCCGCTGTTTCGATGTTTGATTTTGCGCTCGCGGCCTCTACGTTTTCGGCATTCTTCTCCGTTACACCGTCTATCGACATGTTAAAATCGTCGGATGACCGATCGGCGACGTCCGGCGATTTTTTGTTCATTCCGAAGCAGTTTGTGTCCGCTATCTTCGTTACTTCTTTCGTTTTGGACGTTTCTTCGCGTTTCGCATCGTCACTGACTTGTGGAACAACGCTGCTCGCGGCAGCGGTGCTCTTCTCACCACTCGCGTGCTCATCCTGAATGTTTTCCCCGATTTTTTCTATAACGTGTTTCAAACTTTCGATGGATTTGCACGTGGCGGTGAACTCCGTCGCTTTCAAAGCCGTCGATTGTCCAGATTTTGCGGGTTCGCCGTTCGCGTCTTTCCGCTTCTTAGCTTCGGGTTCGTCCACGGATTCCGCGGATAGGCCGCGTTTGAACGTGCCTTTCCGCGAAGTGTTCGCATCCTCCTGAGTCTTGACGTTCGTCTCTTTCGGCGACTTCTTCTCGACGCTCTCCTCGGTTGTTTCCGACACGGTCTGACCGCTCTTGCAATTTTTCGAGTTGTTTTTGCTAATCTTTGTTTTGACCTCCGTTTCCTTCTTGCTCGCGCCATCTTTGGGCTTGTCCTTGTGTATCGCCGGAATAGGAACTTTGTAAGTCATTGTCGTTTTTGTGATTTCCTTACCTTTCGGCAGGATGCTCTTGTGCCCGCCGATTTTCGTAGCGTTGATTATGTTCTTTACGTTGGTCGCCCAACTACGCGAATCGACGATCATATTCGCGTGAATACTTGGCACGGTGTTCAAAGTGACTTTCTGCACGGTGTTGATCAGAGCGTGATTCGACAGCGCAATGGAGACGACGGAATTTTGAACGCGATTCGCCACAGGTTGCATCACGATCATTTGACTCTGTTGCGTGTTACCGAGAATTATTGAGTTCGCCGGTGTTTGGGGCGTGTTCACGATAATATTCGACGTCATCGGAGTCATCAGAGGCATCAATTTACCACCGGACAGAATGAGGGTGTTCGAAGCTAGATTGGTTACCGTATTGGCCACAGGCGACGCTGCCGCGTGTTTCTCATCCTTACGCTTGGACTTCTTTTTTATTTTTCGAGACTCGGTCTTCTTGTTCGCTAAAATGAAAAATTCGTGACATCGATTAGAAACATATTGTGCAATAATTTTAAAAAGATACTACTAAACGACCATCGCTCACTCACCGCTAACGTTACTTACCGGTTTTCTTTTTTACACTTGAGGTACATATCGCGGCCACATCGTTGGCAGAATCTAAATTAGAAATTAATGTCAGTGATTATCAATGTCAAGTAACAAAGATCCTACGTAACGTCATACGATAAAGGCTAGCAATTATTTTTACCATTTTGACAATGTTCAGTTTCCTTTGAATTAGCATCTGTTAAATTATTTGCATTATCAGAATGATAATTCTCCCTATTGGCACAATTTACTCTATTCTCTTGATTTTCTATCAAATTACAAAGATTTTCAGTGACATCAGTATCCTCAGACCGTTTTGCAGCCGACAGTATCACTAATTTTTTCTTAGAAGGCACTTTATTTTCCACAGATTTTTCCTTCTTCCTCTTTTCTACAGTTTTCTCTGCACAAACAGATACATGCATTATATAAATAATACAACGAAATTTTTTGAAACACAATTACACAAATATCTGTACTCACTTTCTTCAGCCTTATCAAAATATTTGTCTACATCGTCGATATTAAATTTATTTGACCATTTCAAGGGAGATATCTTTTCCAAAGCTGGCTCAGATGGTACGGAAATTCCTGCCTCCTTTAGAAGTGTGGACAGTAACTCGGTACGAGACATCAGCAAAGTAACTAGCTTGTTCAGACGAGACAATTCTTCTTCTACAAAAATTAATGAAGATTAATAGCTAAAGTTAAAGAAATAATGTTTTATTATTATGTACATATACACAGACATGAGCAACTCACTGTATGCTTCAGAGGCATGAACAGACAATAATTCTTCGGTACGATTATGGAGGTCTTTTATGTGCTTGGAGGCATGAATCAGAATGTCGACCTTGTTGCGTTTGCGACCCTCCTGATGCGGCGGAAGAAGATCTGCGAGCGTTTTGAAATATGTGTTCATGCGTTTTCTTCTGTCTCGCTCCCATGTTTTCGCTTTGCTAATATAATAAAAAAAAAACAACAAAGTAAGGATTACGTAAAACAGTGTTACAAAACACTTCTCTTTATTGTACGTCAAATCGCGCGAACTGACAGAGAATTTCTGTTTTCGCTGCAGATTTTGAATCAAACAAGTCGCGGAAGTGACGAGGTTACGAGCACCTCCCGATATTCCAAACTTACGTGTTCTCTTTTCGTGGCATAATTTATCCGCTTGACATCGTTTTGTGGAAATAGCGTGCTGCGGAAAACGCTGGGGTGCTACATACTCTTACGTTTAAAACAATTGCGAGAATTCTGAAAAACTCCCTTCGTATACCTCGCTGTACTTCAATCTACCATTTTTCACAGCTAACTCAGCTGATAAGTAGAATAATACATCTCTCTGTATCGAGAGATCCGATTTTATGCAGCAAAAAACCTGTCACAACCAACACGAGCATAGCTCACAAAAACTATACCAATATCTTTATCAAAACGTCAACGATCCGATTGGCTAACAAATCGAAATTCTAGGGAACTCTACCAGATAGCCAAGCTGCGTTCTGTTTCACGCATACGCGCGCATTTATCTATACTATACGTGACGTGTACTATAGATAAATGGGCGCATATGTGTAAAGGCCATTGTACATGGCAAAAGTTTATACGTAGTCGTAAGGTCGTAAGCAAATCGGCCAATCGCTGGTCAGTATTCCAGCTAATGTAAAGAGCCGTCTACAATGGAGAGTTGTAGGCCGTAATAGTAAGAAATTGACCAATCACAGACAAAGTACAGAAGAATAATCGATTGTGATTTGTCAATTTCTTACTGTTACGGCCTACAACTCTCCATTGTAGACGGCTCTTTAAGAAAATGTTTTCAACGTTGAGAAAGACAGCTGGTGTTGAGCAATAGCCTCATCTTTGTCTAGCAAAGTAGTGGGGGAAAAAGAAGTCTTGATTGATAGAATAGTAGTGGAAAAGGATAGAAAAATAGTGGGGGTGAAGAGGAATGAAAGAGATTAAGGGGTGATGGCAAATTAGGCGGTATGAAACAGTGGGTCCTGATCCCAGACATATTACAGACATTGGGTGCTTTTCAACTACGTACACAGGCGACACTGTGTAACACAGTGTCCATTAGACCTGGTTTATGCGGGCCTAAGATTTTAATATTTCTGTTTATTAACAGAAGCATAACAGAATATAACAGAAGCATTGAAATCCTATAGTTGAACTGTACCAATTCCGGCATAAATTAACAGTTATTACCCGCATAAACAAGGCCAAAACAAGGCCTTATTTGCCCGTATAAACCAGGCCTTAGTGTGAGAAAGAGCATATCAGTGTGTCTCACTCACACTAGTGGACGCAGTGTTACACAGTGTCGCCTGTGTACGTAGTTGGAAAGCACCTTTGACTATATAAATATGGACTGCTAGTCGGGAGATCTGACCGTAGACGACATTGAACAGCGCACTCTGAGTTTGGGCCAATAACTAATAGGTCGTCACGTGGTCCTTGCCAGTGTCACCAGTATTAT